GACTATTGGCATTATTCAGCCTATGACACATACTTCTCCAAAGCCTAAAACTGCACACTGGCAAGGCTAAGGTAGACCCAGAGGGCAAGAACAACAATATTAGTAGCTAACTTTTTGAACACTATGTACCTGGCACTATGCAAATTATCTTAAAAAGGTCTCACAGCAACCCTGTAAAATTACTACCCCACAGAAAGGATAATTTTCTGTCGAAGGTTGCACAGCTAGTAGGTGGTAAAGCCTATATAAACCAGGTAAGTTTGATTCTAGTCCTCTTGTATTTCACCAATAGAGTACCTTTTCCCTACACCTTAAGCCATTATAACTTAGGGGTTGGGGGGTAGGGTTGCACCATGACAATTAGGGGCCTCGGAGACTGTGCCATAAAAGGCAAAATGCTCCCTGGATACAGAGAGACAGAGGTCCTGCAGAGCCTATACTAAAAGATCCACAAAGATAGTGGAGCACTCAGAACATTTTTTTTTTATACTCAAAGGAGAAACCTTGGGATTAATTAAGGATTTTTTCAAAGATACCCAGGAAGGGACCACCAGGAAGGCATCACTTGGGAAGGGAAAGTGAAAAGTCCATTCCCAACCCTGAGCCAGGTCTGCAGTTCTAGTCAACCTCCAAAAAGAAGACAGGAACTCACAGTCTCCCCTGAAGGGACTTCCAACTGAGTCACATGGATCCAGATCCTCTGAAACCATACCAGGAAGTCTCAGAACCCGTGGGGCCACCAGAATGGCCCCACGAGTGCTCAGCAGTCAGTATACACCAGGATCAAATCATCCCCCCTGCCTTCTACCCCATAACAGTTACAAGCATATAACCTGCCACATGCCACTGGTTTCAACATGGGCCCTGTAGTTTTACCAATACCACAATGAATGACCTCTTTTTCTATCAGTTTTTACCCAGTGAATGGCTCAAAATCAGCTATGATTGGCACAAGGTGGAAAGGGGAAAGGCAAACAACCGCTAAGCATGTCTATTATGGTGGTTTAACTATTCATAGCAGCTCAACCTCAACTGCTAAACAGTTTAGCCACAGCCCTACCTGAAACTTTCTAATGAGCTGAGTTACAGCTATTTGGCTTCCCTTAGCCAAAAAAGTGGCCACTCGTTTGTTTCCGGTAACAAGACCAGAGGCTGATGTAGAACAGCACAGTGGTCAAGGGAATGGACTCTGAAGCTAGCCTGTTCTGACTGACTCCTGGCTCTGGCACTTTCTTGTTATGACTCCATGAAAGTTACTCAGCCTTTTAGGTCCTTGGTTTTCCCATCTTCAAGATGGACATGAAAATGGAGGCCCATATTCCTTTATCCAAATCAGAGGATTTTTGACTTTTATAATGGTAAGACAGTACCATGTACCATATTTTGCATAACACTGTTGGTAGGATCCACAGCAAACATGTCCATTCTTTCTGAAATAAAAATGTATGACTAGTTCTCACCAGGTGAGAAAAATAAAGACTGTAACAACCTCATGTCATCTCAGACCATGTATCCAAAGTCATGAAAACCAGTTTTCAGAGCTTGTTTTAATTTCAGAATTGCAGGTAAGGGATAGCAGGTCTCTGGCACTTGCTGCCTAACGTTTGAATGAAATGAGTTAATAGATGTAGAGTACTTAGAACACTGCCTGGCATGCCCTAAGCGCTGCAGAAGTGTTACCAACAACAACTCCTGCCATGATTTGCATCTAAATAGGTTTGCTAGAGGGTTATAAACAGGAACACTTAAATTTATGACTAAATGTGGTTCAGACAATCAGTATCATGGCGATTAACAGGCATGAACCCTTTAGAACAATATTCCAGGACAGGGTTTCTGAAATGATGGAAATGTTCTGTATCTTCATTGTCTGGCAGAGTAGCAACTAGCCACATGTAACTACTGAGCTCTTGAAAATGTGGCTCATTAGGGGTGCCTGGGTGGCTTAGTCGGTTAAGCGTCCGACTTTCGCTTAGGTCATGATCTCGCGGTTCGTGGGTTCGAGCCCCGCGTTGGGCTCTGTGCTGACTGCCAGCTCAGAGCCTGGAGCCTGTTTCAGTCTGTGACTCCCTCTCTCTCTGACCCTCCCCTGCTCGCACTGTCTCTCTCTCTCTCTCTCTCCTAGAAAGAAATAAAACATTAAAAAAAAAATTAAAAAAATTTATTTTTTAAAAAAAAGTCTAAAGAAAGTTAGCTAATAACCCACTTGAGTAGGCCCAGCAGATCAAATAATTTGCCACATCGCCTGGTTGCTAGGTTCAGAGTAGGATTTCTAGAGAGAGGCTTATTGGACAGGCANGACTCCCTCTCTCTCTGACCCTCCCCTGCTCACGCTGTCTCTCTCTCTCTCTCCTAGAAATAAATAAAAATATTAAAAAAAAAAAGAAAAAGAAAATGTGGCTCATTAATTTCATTTAATTCTACCTAATTTGAATTTAAAGCAAATAGCCATATATGTGGCTTATGGCTACCATGCTGATAGCACAGCTATAGAGGGCTAGGTTCCAAACTGGCCCATGAAAACCAATTTAAGCCATAACACAGATGAAGTATAACTTTAAGAAACATACGTTTGAGTTCTGCACCCTGAGAGCAGAGAAGACCACATGATGCTGAAGAGAGTTTTCTCTTCCTTTCTAGGCCCCATGGTTGGCCCATGGCAAAGTACATCTTTGACATCATCTTTTTTCTACTCTCCCCACTTCTCCATATCCAACTCCCTTTCTGAAGACCCCATATAATTGGCACACATGCTTCTCTAATCCCATCAATACCTCAGGCCTTTCTACCACAGTGCCATGCTCCCTATCACCTGCCTTCACTCTCTCCAACCAAATTCCCACTTGCTCAATGCCAAGATCTCAACCAAATGTTGGCAGGAAAGCAACTTGATCAAACAAGCCACTACTGCTTTTTTACCTTCTTCCCTATGTTTCCTTCTAAATCCAGAAGCTCTTAATTGTTGTGTTCCCTAGGAATCCCCTACTCCCCCGACTCATCCCCAGTAGAGGTCACCCAGGCAGAGAGAGAGGAGTCTCGACTGAAGCAGCTGTTGTCCTCCATAGGCTGCCTGCCAGCTAGGTGTGTGGAAGGAGGGCACTGCCAACACACACACATGCAGAGCAGGCTCACTCTTTGCAAATATCTCCTCTTATTCAAGCATGAGAAACATTCCCTGCTCTCTGCTCTAAAAAAAATCATGCACAATTCTTTTCAATTATCCTTTATTCATTTAAAATTTTGTAAGTAACAAACTGCACATCAAATTCACTTTTTAAAGTATACAACAAAAACCCAGAAGAGACTGTGACTAAGAACAATTGCAAATAAAAAAGAAAACCAACCACCTTCATTGGAATCTAGCTTCACCACAACCCACTTGAGCATGGAATTTTTAATGACACAGGTCAACCTTGGAGCACATCCAAGGAGCTTATGTTACTAGAAGGACTGGAAGAATGTCTCCCCAGCTCAGTCTCACCTCTTACTTGGTCCCAAGACATGGACCAAAGATAATTATTATGCATGGCTCCCAAGTATAAAGAACACTTCCTCTGTTGGCCTGTAAACACAGGACACATAAATGGTAAATACTATGTTTTTCAATACATCCTTTCAATTACACTATCTCCTCCAAAGGAAAGATTTGTTTCGAAGAACAAAAGTCTTAACATTTAATAGCAGCCCACAATTATTTCAGAGGGCCTTCTAGCTGCAAGCACTGTGCTAAGCAAGCCACCGTTAGTGCCTTCAGTAGGGAAAATGAGACATGCACATAAATAACTCTGGAAGGAGAAAAAGGTCCGGTGGGTAAAATGCTGCAAGAATCCCAGCAGCCACAGGTTGACTATTTGGGGCTGGGGTTACCAGAGAAGGACTCACAGCAGTAGCAAAACTCAGTGTGAAGGATGGTTAGGATTTAGAGTGGTAAAATGGGGCCGGAAGGGCATTCAGGAAGAGGAAAGGTTCTAGCTGACAGCATCATCAGGCATTCTTTAGAAAGTATTTGTGAAGACACGGCTGCATACATCATCCAGAGACAGTTCAACTCCCCTTCTCCCGCAGGAACACACTTTTCGAGAGTATCTATGGGGTTACCTGCACCAACCACCCAAGAAAGGCTCTCAAAAATTCTCCCTAGTGGGTCCAGCATTCTTGGCCACGGCTGTGCCCATTCTACGTAGTGGCCCCACCCTATCCTACCAGGGGTGCCGACAAGAAACACAAGGAAAAGCGCCTAATCTTGCAAGGGTGTAAAAGATCTACTAGCAAACTCTGCATAAATGCAACTACAATTATGAACAGTGTGCAAGTAAAACTTTCAGATGAAGTGAATGTCCCATAATATCTTCAGGGAACTATTGAAAATGATGCTGATAAATCTTTACACGATGAATCTTTCTTACACAGAACAATTGGTTGAGTCGGTTGAACCAACTGCCTCATGGCTTAAATACCAGGTAAGGGTGGGAAAACAACAACAACAACAACAACAACATACAATTTATACGGCGCATTTATTATCAGCCACAACGGAGGGCTTCTGGCTCTACGTTACTCATTATCACAGCACTAGAGAATATTTTAAAAGACGTGGCCATTCCCGTTCCCAGTTAAAGTGAGTCCACGTCCAACCTGGGATTTTCTAGGACTTGACGCAGCTCAGTCTCTCCAGGAACCACCTCGTGGGGCACCTTCCTTGAAATCCTGTTGCTAGGTGCCGCCTCAAGGAGAACTTATATTTTCCCTCCTTGGGCTGGCCGCCTGCACAAGCACACAGAAAATGCGGCGGAGAGCGAGGCAAACGTGTGAGGGCAGCGAAGCCCACGCTCACGGTGCCCTCGGGGCCCGGCCTCGGGTCGCCCGAGTGGGGGCGGGGCCCCGCGCCAGGTACAGACTGAGGCGGCCGCCCACTCCCGGATCCGCGGGAGTCTCACAGAAAGAGCCCACCTCTCCCCGGCGCCAACCTCGGGAACTGAGCCACACGGTCGCCTCCTCACCTCTGCTCTTCGGGTCAGTCGCGCCACACCGAGTCCCCGAGTGCAGCGTCCCTCTGGGACGCGCCTGTAGCTAGCGGCGTCGGGTGTCCCCGCTACCGTGTGTCAGCGGCGGAGCGGGTGCCAGCGGCGCGCCACAGCCCCAGGCAAGTGCCCGCGAGGCAGAGCCCGGGGCGCGCCGCCCGCAGGGGTCCGCCCGCCCGCCCGCCGCGCTCTAGCTTGTGCGCCCCCGCGGGCGCCGCTCCCTCACTCCGCGCCCCTGGGCTCTTCTGCGCGCTGCCGGGACGGCACGGCGGCGCGGGCGGCACCGGGGGCCCCCGCCCTGGGCCGGCCTTTCCCAGAACTCGCCCGCCCTGGGTGAGAGGCCGCGAGCGCCGCCGCGGGCCCCCGAGCGGCCGGGGGAGCGGCCTGAGGCGGGGCCCGCCCCCGGCAAGGGCCGCGCGGTGCAGGCGGGGGCGAGGGGCGGACCCCGCCGCCACCCCCGCCCGGGCAGCCCGCCGCGCGACCCCCGCTCGGCCTCGGGCCCCGCCGGCTGGCGGCTGCCTGGAGCCCAGGCGGGGGCGGGCGTGAGTGCTGCTGGGCCGCCCGGCTGCAGGGAGGCGGGAACTCCGGGCACCTCAGGCCGCGGGAACTTCAGCCCACACCTTCTCCCCCGGGACCGGTCTTGTGTGACACTTATGGAAACTGAGGCTCGTGGCGGATAGGTCCCTTGACCAAGGTTACTCTGGTAAATGGCAGCACCAAGTGTCGAACCCATTCAGTCAGTCATGAATTTAAAAGATTTTACTGAGCACCATACCATGCCTGGCGCTGTGCCAAGCTCTAGACATACTCCTTTTGCTGGTAATAGTGGCCATTCAGGTCCGTGGACTCCAAATCCAGTGCTCTGTCATTGCTGAAGCAAACGTGGCATGTTCAACCACTGCCAGAAACTGCAGGCTCTGCACAGAGCCTTCCATAGGCGCTGGGTGGTTGTTATACCCACCTGACAGTCAGGAGAGCCAGAAACCTGGAGAAAAATCAAATTATCAACCCCCTCCTTCCCCTCCTCTCAGTTCTGATGGACTAATGACCAGTTCCACAGGTCTGACACCTCCTGGTACATTCAGTCAGGACCAATTCCTGTGGCCCATAACCCCACTCATCTGCTCTCTTCTTGAACTAATCACCCCTCTCACCACAGCCATATTATTTGCCCTCTTCTACAACTTTAATCTGTGCAAAAACCTTCATAGGCTCCCTACTGCCTTCCAAACTAACTCCCAGTGACTGTAGAAACCCACCTCACCCTGGTTTATATGGACCACCCAGCATAAGGCTCTCCCACTCCAACTCTGTACCTGTGCCTAGGCTGATCCTCTACCTGGAACCACCATCTCCTCCCACACACTTTCCTCCTCCTCAAGAGAGTTTGACCCTTTCAGGTTGCTCTTAAAAGTGGCCTCCCCTCCTTTGAGCCTCCAGGGCACCGGAGAGATTAGAGCAAGAATGCATAGGAGGACACTAAGAATTCTGCCTATAGGAAGAATCTGCCAGCCTGACTCTTAACTGTTTTTGCTGTTTTCTCACCACTAGGATTTTAATGAAAATCAACATTACTGCCTCCCTTGAGAGCTGGTTTTGGAAAGGTCTTTGCAGAGGACACTGAAGAAACTCTGTTCACTAAGAGCTCGAGATTTCAGCACTAGAGCAGTAGGGAATGGTTTTCCTTCAATCCCCGAGTCCTTGCTGGACAGGTAAAGGAGGAGCCAAGAAAAAGGAACCATCACTGACAATAAACAAGGTAGGTTATTTATTTAATATACTGCTTTCCATTACGATTTTAGAATTCATTTCATGAATCTAGTAATGTCAAACATCATCAGTCACCTGGAACTCCCAAAGACTTGTTAAAAAAAAAAAATTAGGCACTTGGGAGTTAGACTGCTACAAACTTGTGGATGCACAAGCAGTTAACTTCGAATCCTTCAAATGAGTCATTGCACTGTTAGTTAACCAAAGCAAATCTAGGTCTATTGGACAGGAAAGTTACCTAAGCGTGATAATCAACATCATCCCATGCCTGGAAAGGAGGATCTTCCTCAAATCTTTGCAAAGAGAGCATGTCCAAATCAATGTCCTTTGCTCGCCCCCTCGCTCCCTGTCTAAATGAGACTGGAGGGAGCCGTGTCCCTGAGGCTGCCTCACCGCATTGGAATGTCTGAGCTAACAGTGCTTCCAGAGGGTTCATTGCTCCTCTGAACAGCACTGCCCAGACTTTCTGGAGATTTTAATTCACTTCCCAACCTCGCCAACAGTTGCACACAAGGTGCCTTTTTTACACCCTGCTCTCTGTTCAGTGAAACATGCAGACCATCTCAGGGGAACAATGGCTCCATTCAAGACTTTTTCAAAAATGCAGCATATAACCTCCATGCTGTGGTTTGCTGCCAGCCATTATCTGGAGGAAGAAAGACTGTCAGATAAAGTAGGGGAATTAAGGGAGCACTGGATAATTTCCATGGAAAATTCAGCTTCAATAAATTAAGTTACACATCTTTATATACAAGATGATTTGGCGGTGTCAAAAACAACAAAAACAAAAGCCCCAGGAAATAATGCTGTGGAAACTTTATTTAAATATAGTATGTCTCTGTCTAAAATTTCAGAAGAAAACCCACATCTCTTTTGAACCTGTTACGTAATGGTCTCCATTTGATGGAAATTGATTTAAATAAGTTATAAATGAAGGGACTAGGGAATTTAAATCATAAAACCATTTTAAGAAATGAAACCATCTCCCTATATTCTTCCTCTTCTATCCTGTAATTTTTTTAGATGGGGGGGTGGTCTCTGAGTTCATGGTTGTTGCTGCCAATGGGAGGCCCACACTCCCTACTGCATATGTTACAAAAAAGATTGGCCCCTTGCCACACTCAACAAGACAGCCGTCAGTTAACCCATTATAAACAGGCCCTGAGGTTGGGAACTGAATAGTCCGCATAGGCATCACTGATAAATGTATTGATCTTTGTTAAACAGTAGCTAATTGCCAAGCAGAGGTGTTTGCCAACAGACCTCTGAGTATTCATAAAAACCAAAGAAGAACTGAAGGAACAAGCCAGCCCTCAGTCACGGAACCGCCATCGTCTCCCCTTTGAAGTTACTACATCAGATTGTACTGGGTTTACCAGCTGTCTGCAAATAGGCTAGTGGGTTCAGACAGTGGGGAGAGAGCCAAAACCAAGCTTTTTAGAGTTCTCTTGTATGTGAGGGTGAAGTATTAAGGCAGTTTGAAGTTGGTGAAAAACAACCAGTTTTAAAGTAATAGGTACCTATACTTCTCTGAGGTGGTTAGGAGTGAGGGTACAGGAGATCTGGTCAGAAGAATGGAGTGAAGCAGGGAGAGGCAATCCTAAACATTATCTCTCAACATAGCCAGTATTAGGGGCACAGACTCTGATATGGGACCACTTGAGTTGAAATCTCCAATCTACTTACTCCCTTGGTGTGAGCCTTTGGGCAAGTTACTTACCTCTCTGTGCACCATTTTCTTCTTCTATAAACTCTACCTACCCCCTTGATGGTGTCGTGAGTATTAAATGAGTTAATCTATGTGAAGTACTTAGAACATAGAAGGAAGGGTTCCAGCTGACGGTCCCAGCGAGGGTTCCAGCAATGGTCCCAGCGAGGATCCCAGCTGGTAACCAGCATTAACCCTGGACATGTGAGTGAGTGAGTGAGTGAGTGAGCCTTCAGGGGATTCGAGGCCTTATAGCCTTTAAGCTATCCTGGCTCTACCAAGTAGAGCTGACAAATGCTATCCTCGCCAATCCCTGCCCAAATTGCAGGTGTGTGGGCAAAATAATTGTTTTTAGTCTTTTAAGCCACAAGTTTTGGGATAATTTGCTATAGAGCTTTAGCAACTGGAAAAACAGGTGTGGATGTTAAAAGGTAAGTAGAGTTTTGTAGAAGCCTATAAAAGGTTTTTACTGCTTGCTTCTATGTTCTCAATGAAATGGCAAACAATCCTCAGGTGAGAGTAAAGATATGGTAGCAGTTGCAAAAAAGTTTGAGAGAGAAGGTATGAAATACTCATTTTGGAAAGTGGGAGGGCATATGTAATAATGAAATACAATGCCAGGCATTAAGTGTTCAATTGTGGTCATGAATGTAAAGTGAGCCCAGTCATTGTGATGGTACATTATTCTTCAGACAGGTTTAGCCACATGGATATATGAGAAGAAAAAATATACGTCCTGAAAAGAAAGGTAAAATTATTATTACCTGCAGAAAAATGTGACTATATATCTAGATAATACCAGACAATCAACTACAAAATACCTAGAATTAATGACAACCTACTAGAGTCACTGGATATGACAAATATTAAAAAAATCAACAACTTTTCTATATATCACTAATGTCTACTTAAAGACATATTGGGGTAATCTCATTTATAATAGCAACAAAAGCATTAAAATGTGGGAATTAGGGGGACACCTGGGTGGCTCAGTCGGGTAAGCATCAGACTCTTGATTTTAGTTCATGTCATGATCTCATGGTTCATGAATCCTCACAGTGCAGAGCCTGTTTGGGATTCATTCTCTCTCTCTCTCTCTTTCTCTGTCCCTCCCTTGCTCTCTCTATCTCTCAAAATAAATAAATAAAGTTTAAAAAATATGGAAATTAGGGATAATCATGATAATGTATATGTATATACATGTGTGGACATAACACATGTCTAATTATTTTGGAGAAATTAGAGAGATTTGCATAAATAAAAAGAGACATACTATTTATTTGTGGGGAGGCTTAAAGATCAAAAAATGTCAATTTTGGGGCGCCTGGGTGGCTCAGTCAGTTAAGTGTCTGCCTCTTGATTTTGGCTCAGGTCATGATCTCTCAGTTTGTGAGACTGAGCTCTTTGTTGAACTCCACACTGATAGCACAGAGCCTGCATGGGATCCTCTCTCTCTTTCCCTCTCTCTTTGCCCTTCCCTCACTTCTCTCCCTCTCTCAATATAAATAAATAAACTTTTAAAAATGTCAATTTCTGCTAAGT